CTCAAAGGACTAGGTCTGGTCCAAAACTAATCCAAATATATGGAAAAAACATACTAGATTTACAATGGGATGTCCTAGGTGAGGACCACGTACCATACACATCGGAGTAATCCCAAAACTACTCCCTTTCTAGTTCTATGGGCTATATACCATGTTGTTTAAAAAAATAAAATAGAAATGATCCATGCCAGCATTACATTAGACTACTTAACGGATCGTGTACTCCAACAATATTTACAGAGGAGTAGTTTTTGGATTGTACCAAACAATTTTTATTTTGAAATTTTATATCAATATAATATGCCCGCAAAGCTTTCAGTAAATTAATCAATATACGAACTGTTAAGATTTATAGATTAACGCATGTATTTGTAAAAAATCTTATTTTGCTTTTAATGCACACAATAGTTAAAGCACACTTTAGCCTTAAAAACCATTAATAAAATTGTGATATTCATAAACAAATAATAAACCTATATTAACTATTGTGCTGTTTTATGTTTAACATGGCATCACTGTATCGGATTTTATTTATTTAAACAAAATTCTCTTAAAAAAGATAGGCAAAAAACTTAGTTGATTCACTGTATGTACTATATATGGCTATAACAAATGTTTATTTAGTTCAGATGTATAAATATAACATATAATTTCTAACTATTATTAAAATTATCCGAATAACGGATATTTTGCGACAAAATAAACGCCACTATTGCACACTTTCTTATTTTTTACTTATTTTCCTTGTAATTTTTAAAACATTTTTGCAAATATTAATAAATTTCTTTGATATTTCACTAATTTTAACGCCGGCGAATATATTTTGCATTAGTATAACACTAATCAATACAATTTACATGATTAATAACTTTATGGCATTATATTTAACCAACAAACTTTGAAAAAGGCAAATCAAATGATTTTGTCTATCATTTGGTTGACAGACGGGCATTTCCAAATTGCCTTAAAAATAGTCAAATATTAATGTATTAATCCAATAAAGCCTAGATTGAGTTTTTTCCCAAAATTTAGTCGTTAAAAATTTTTCAGAGATTTTATTTACAAATTTGTAAACGTTAAAATTAGAATTTTTAGATTTTATTTTAAAAGAAACCATAATTAGTTTTCGCTTTCAACCTAAAATTACCGAAAAAAGTTTTATCTGAGAAAAAAATGTTAAAAAACAATTTATTGTTGGCTTAAGGAACAATGAAATTCTTATATTAGTCAATGGTTTACGTTAAGCTAATTGACGTTTATGAATATGATTTTGCCTAAAATTGTTTAATAAACCTAAAATAAGTTTTTATAAATACAGCCGTAAGTTTTTTATATTAAATAATCCCAAACCTAACTAATTTTTCTATTTTTTGGAAAATTTACATATATATGTATTAACTTAATAGACTGGTTCATAGACTAGTCAAAAAAGTATACAGTATGTTGGCTAACAAGACATAGTATAGAGGTATCTTTCAAAATTGCACTTAAAATATCTTTATAATTATACATATACATTTTTAGCGGTCAGATAAAAAACAATCGTAAAAAGGGCTCTCTCTTCTTAAATTATTACTGATTCTCTGGATGTTATCTCTTTCAGGTTTCTTAACAATATGAGAGAATATAAAGTTTAATACAAAATGGGTTATGGGTGTATCATTAAACTTTTGAAGATCGAATTGTACCAAAAAAGTACATTTGTACAAATTTTGCCAACCCTGATACGAACATATCAGTAAACTTAGATATTTTTATTCGTACTCTCTCCCTCCCTCTCTCTCACACACAATAAATGATGCATAAACAATGAATAATACTTATTCCAAAACCTTTAAAAACGTGTCCAAGAAAGTGTTTATATAAATTTTCTAAATAAAACAAAAATGCTTACCAGTAAATACATTGACTCACCCATTCGTTTTTAATATATGACTCATTACAACAATATTTCTTTATTATGAAATACGTCATTTTTGTTTTGATTTTTTTTGCCATAATGGGCATTTTTTGCAGCTACCCAACAAAGACATGGTAATTACTTGTAATTCTTACCTTTCAATGACTACTACATACCTCCTACATTACTTAGAAGAAGTCTAGTAATGACATACAAATAACTACACATATATGAGCAAAATCTAAAATTTTTATAAATTATGTAGATAAAATTTTTTTCGAAAATTTTTTTCTTCTGACAAGAATTACATTTAGTGGTTGAATTTGGTAATAATTACACATGATAAATCCCAGCAAAAAAGTGTGTAAAAAGATATAGTATTTTCATCACAACCCAGCAAAAAAAGTGTGGAAAAATATGTAAAATTTTCATCACAACTAGTAACCCGAAGTGCTTCAAATTCAGGTGAAAAAACTATGAATTTTACATTAGCGTGTCATTGGAGGGATGTTGTTCATTTTTGACAACTTTGAACTACATCTTCTCTTCTCTTTAGAAGCTGTAAAAATCCGATATTTGTGTGTCAAAAATAAACCACATTCTTTTAATGACACGCTTATGTAAATTCCATTGGGTTTTCATCAAAATTTGAAATACTTCGAATATGTTGTTTGTAGTGACTTTTCTACATCTCTTTCCTCATTTTTAACTGTGTTTTCATTTGTAAGGATATATTTGGTTTATAAAAGCGAAAAATATGCAATCGCATTTTTAGATGTGATTAAGATGTAGTTTGTATAGTATGACATCACCCAGCAAAAAATAATTGATGTCATACTTTACAAAAAACCTCTATATCTAATCCAAAATCCCTGTGGAACTGCCGTAAGGTATTTCTTCAAAGGGTGAGGAACGGTATAAACCTACACTATGTTAATTAGATTCTTCTTCGAATCTCCTCTTCTCTACGAAGTTCTACCAGAACCAATTTCACGTAATGACATACACTATTCGAATTTTCTAAGGTTGTCAGCATAATATTTATTATGTTATCTGGCCTAACGCTACATTCTACTTGGTCTTCTAGAGTTGCTCTTTCATTTCGAAATCTTGGACATATAAAAAACATGCTGTGCATCTTCTTCCATGTTAACATAGAGAGGACAGAATGGATCCAGGTCACGTTTGAAGCGATACAGATACAATTTAAAACACCCGCGCCCACTTAACATTTGAGTAATATAAAAATTTTAATCACCGTGACGTCTACCGATCCAGGCCTTTATGCATGGGATGAACTGATACGTCCACCTTCCCTTGTTTGATGTTGACCAGCGTATCTGCCAGTTGTCAATACTATGGTTTTTCGACTACTTATTAGGACGGCTTCAGTCTTATGATCTGCCAAGGTTAATCCCACTGAAAAGAGCCATGATCGCACAATTTGTATACTAGCATTGCAAAATATTTCAGCTTCCTCTAACCGTTTTGCCACACAAACCAAGGCTATGTCATCCGCAAAGCCAACGATAGAAACTCTTTCTGGCAGCTTTAGTTGTAACACACCATCGTACATTACGTTCCACAACAACGGTCCAAGGACTGATCCCTGCGGAACACCCATTGTTACTCTATATTCCCTTATTCCACTATCAGTATCATAAACCAGGATTCTGTTACGGAAATAATCCTTAATAATGGCCAATAAATATGGTGGGATATTTAATCTACATGGAGTGTTAAAAATAACATCCCAATTGGCTATATTAAAAGCATTTTTAATATCAAGGATAACAACCACACAATACTATTTGCGCCTTTTTTCCAACACTTTCCCTCTATAGCTTTACAATACCTTTCAGTATAGATTCCTGTGTTGGTACTACTGAATTTAAACATTTAAGCTTCTTAGTGGCCAGCTTGTATGGGTTATTTTGTAGATAATCACAGATTTCATTGAAACATTTCCTCTTACTTCTGCGCATGGCTAGCTTAAGCAATTTTCTTTTTTCCTTAAATGTTTGGTGATAGTTTTCGTTTTTAGGTCTACCTCTTGTTCGCGTATACTGTCGCCTAGCTCGCACACATTCTGAACGCAGTTGGGCTATCCTATCATTCCACCAATAGACCGGCCGCTTAGTTGAAACATTTTTCCTTTTCACCATTGACGCATCGCATGCTCGGGAGATTTCTTTCACAAATTGTTTAGCCATTTCTTCGGGTGAGCCCTGGAGTTGTAGGTTTGCTATATAGGTTCGGAACACATCTTTATCGAATGTATTAACTTTCCATCCTAATAACAAAGATGTTTTCTTATTGACAAATGGCAGTGGTGGCTCTGACTTTATGTCAATAATTATAGCCGAGTGATAGCTGTGGGTGTATTGGCTAGACAGACGCCAGTTTACCCGTCCTGCAATACTGCTTCTGGCGAAGGTTATATCAATGATCGATCCTCTATCGCCTCTTTTATTCCCTGTGTTCATCAGCACAATCTCGAGCACAGAGAAAGCTTAAAATAAAATCCTTCCCTTTCATTTGTAAGGGAACATCCCTAATCAGTAGCCCAGGCATTAAAATTACCTGCAATTAGTACAGGCATCTGAGACAATGTTGTCAATAATAGTTTCAAATTCTCCTATAGAGTACCGCGGCGGAATATAGCAGCTATAAAGATGAATTCCTGAAACTAAAGCTCGTGTAATTCCACACACAGATGTCATTATATTGTTGACCGATCAGATGGCTGAGGATTTTGAGCTGTCTGAGACCCAACATACATACATACATACATACATACATACATACATACATACATACATACATACATACATACATACATACATACATACATACATACATACATACATACATACATACATACATACATACATACATACATACATACATACATACATACATACATACATACATACATACATACATCTAAAATCACTTAATTTTTGTATCTACATACGAACACATTGAAATTAAAATAATTGGGCATATAAATAAATTTTGTATACAATTTAAGAATGATTTTTTAATTACACATTGAAATTAAAATAATTGTACATAATTTATTTTTGGTAATTTTCAGATGACTCTGTGCAACGTAATGGTAATGATAGTTGTCATACATCATCATTGAAGTCACATACCTATAAGAATATTATTTTAAATTCAGCTCTATATACAAATGGTAACCGTCAGAATCCTATCAGCCTAAGTGGAAAGCAACGCAAATCTCGCAGCACTAATAACAGACAAGATATAACAAAAAAAAACACAATCACCCCTTCCGGTGGTGGCCAAGAGATACTCAAGAGGAATTCATCCGGATTTAAAATCAAGGATTGGTTACAAAATGATTTAATAAGTTGTGACACATATTTTGTATCTTCTTTCCCCGAAGGTAGGTATTTTATAATTGAACTCAATTTTGAAATTTTAACAAAGTAATACTTTTTATTTTTAACCAAAGAATTAGTTATTTTTTAGGTTCCGTTGTCAGATGCATAAAATTCGCAGATCTGACAATGAAAATTGCCAGACAATTATCTGGCAATGGCAATGTAATGTGTTTAGACGATTGTACTGTCTGATACTGATACTGATACTGACAATGCTTTTTCTGACAACGTTGCAGTTAAAAAACGAAAAAGAACCAAAAAGTCCCCTTTTATAGGTTTTCATTTACTCTTGGCTCTATATGCTTAATCTCATGTTTCTAGGATCAATATTATAAAAAGGTGGCGTGTCATAATGTCCAGGTCGTTATGACATACCAAATTGAGTCTCAATGTTATGACAATTTCAAAAGTGTCACAATGTCTATGAGCAAAATGACATAAAGTCCATGGATTTAAAGGAGTCCATTTATCAAATTTTGCGAATCCGGTATTCGAAATACCCTGTTTTGAAAGTGTCCACGGACATTATGACACTTTTAAAAATTGTCATAACGTCCATGGACACTGTGACACTTTTTTGTGTGCCATAACGTCCATAAATTGTATGTACCTCAAATTTTAATGTTCTTTTAAAAAGATAAACAAACAGAAAATGAAAAACTGAGTACGCAGTGTGTAAAAATGTTGTTGTGCGGTGTAACATTAAAACTACTTATGGCCGTAATTTCAACAAATATATATGTGTATCTATAGCATAAAATATCTCGTAGGTAACTTTAACCATAAATTAATATATCATGAATTCCCGGAAAGAACATAGAAAGACTGACAATTTTAGACCTCATATCATTCAATTTCCTTCATATTATATAAAATATGTTCTTTATGTAGAAAATAAAACAACTGGCTTTTTTATTTTGAAAAATTTCAAGAAATGCGATTTTTGTGGCCGTTTTTAGGTATTTGCTCGAAAACTACTATTCTCTTTAATTCTACTATACTTTGTATATTAAAAAGTTTAATATAAAGTAGTGCATTTTTTATGGTAATGCACTTTTTGAATGCCTTTTTGAAATCGTTCTTCCTGCTTAAAAAGTTTTAAAAGTGCATAAGTCGATTATTTAAATTTTTTCGATTTTTTTTATGTTTTATATTGGGAAATTTTTAAATTTTATTGATATTTTATGCATTTAACAGAATTTAAAACTTCTCAAAATACATTACTGGTCAGAATTGGAATGCAAATATTTAAATTAGATTACAACTAATCTACACTGTTATAAAAATCCATTTCTAAATAATATTTGTAAAGATAAATGCATTTTTAATAAAAATGCATATTGGGTACATTTTTTACATTGTTCTCCATGTTTAACATATCTTGTAATTGCATTACTGACAAATTTATAATTATATATACATACATAATAAAAAATTATATATCTTTTATATGCATTTGATCTAACTTAAGCTAAATAGCAAGTTTTGATTTATGATATCTTTAAATACTTTCAACAGAGAGTACAATTTGGAAAACGCACTCAAGGTGCACTAGCATCAAACATAGCATAAAAAATACTATTTAGAAATCAATTTTTATAATAGTGTATAATTCTGATCATAATGATGCATAAAATATCAATAAAATTTTTAAATTTATCAATATAAAACATTGTAAAACATCGAAAAAATAGATAGATTCTGCATAAAGATCTTCAGAAACTCGATTAATGCACTTTTAAAAAATGTTAAACAGGGAGAACGATTTCGAAAAGTGCATCTCCATAATAATTCACTATATTATACTCTTTAATAAAAAATAATATTAAAATATATCGAGCCCTTTTTGCAAAATGGACATAAGCGACATGATTTTCGTTTTTTTTTATAGAAATCGATAATTTAGGTCCATCTCTGAAAATTTCGCAGCTATAGATCCAATGTTTCAACTTTACAAGAAAATGAAAAAAGACTTAAGTACACATTTATTTTCTATTTATGAATTTTGTAACAACAAGGTGTCGGTTACGTCTAAATTTTCTTTTAAAATATATTAAATTTATAGAAAAATTTGGAACAAATTAAGGTAAAATTTGTTTGTAAATGAAATGCTACATATCTGAGTATAATTGTTATAAATTCATGTAATTATCACTATGCCATTGCAATTTATGTGCTGAAATTTACAGTTTTCTATAACTTTTTATGAATTTAGTTCATTATAATTACTAATAACATTGCAAATAATTTTTGTAGAACTTTATCATACTTTCTTAATTTTTGAAAGATTTATTAACTATAAACTTATTTTCTATGTGAGGGGCATATGAACACATCCTAAAACATCATCATACATTGTTGCTATACTAATATTTTAAGTCAGCAATGATCATAAAGTCATTTTCTTAAAGGATCCATATATGGAGGCTTGGGTCAAATATTGCTTGACATCTGTCATACTTGCCGACATAATTTACAGGTATATAAAACTGACTTCTGCAAAATTTTATAGCGATTGCTACATAAACAACATATTTTATAATGTTCTAACTATATTCCGGTGAGCACTTGTGTGGGGTCTAAGTAAAATGATGAACAAATATTGCCCATTTTTAACATCAAATAATATTTGTCTTCAATGAGCATTTTTGTAGAATTTCATCACTCTAGCTCCTAACGTTCGGAACCTATCCGGTTTTCAATAAACAGACTGACATATGGACATATCTAGATGATCTTAAAATCTTATAAAAAATATTTATTACACTCTTAAAATTTAGATATATACAACTTATATAAAGATATACACAAAAAATAATTTTTTTAGACAGAGAATTTAGACGTAACCGCCTCAACATCGTTTGTATGAGAATTTGTCTCGGCAAAAGACGTAAACGACAAAAAATCGGATATAGCGTAAATATAAAATCGAAACAAACGAAATCCTATATTTTAGATGTAATAATATTTTTTAACGGAGTTTTTGAGAAATGCTATGTCCTACTTCGAAGATAATTAAAAAAATGCTCTCCTGTAAAATTTAGTTTTTGTCCGTCACGTCTTTTGTGCGAAAAGGGCTCGTTATGAGAGCACATTCATAGTATTAGATTGAGTTTTAAATCAACAAAATCCGATTTAAACTCTCACCTTTTTGATATTTTGTAGTTTTTACTCTCTCATATGTACAGTCGGGTTTTTACTTCTTTGGTAGGCAAAATACCACAGCACTGCCTTATAGCCAATACTATCCTGATAATAAAACGCTATTTTTTAAGTAAATTCGGTGAAAAAACTTCCTGTACCGAACGCAATTTCTAAAATTATTTTAATAATTTTCATATAAACGTATACATACTATTATCTATAACATGCAATGTTATCGCGATTTGTTAGAAATTTCATAATAGTGCAAAAATGTTGGCAAAAATATTTATTTTTCTCATACAGAAAAAGTAATATTTATCCAGCCTTTGGTGCGGGAACTCTTTTTACGTGCCGAAAAAGGCCTTGCTATGGTATTTTTGATATTTGAAAAAATTGCAAAAAGTCAAAACCCTAATGTACAGGTATCGTGTGATTTCCATACACTTGTATTATTTTTGTCTACATAAGTTAACAAACAATAGGCTAATTTTACGGACGGATAACATCATTACATCGACGCAAGTGTTACTAACTTTAAGACATAATCAAAATGCCATTCCCATTATTGTGGTGCAGGGTGTATTTATACAGCATTTGGGCTGCATTGGAATTAATAATAATCGTTTATATTAATTTAAGCATTAGCACAATTCCTTTGGCACATAGCCCCCGCTGCTGCAAAAAAACATTGCTAAAAGTTGTGTTTTGCCACAAAATTATTAAAAACATTTTCAGAAAAAAATAATTTTTCTAATGTTTTTATTTTTTTAATATTATTTTCAAGTGTCAATATTGGTCCATCTCAGCAAACACAAAGAGTTTATTTAAATTAGAAAATAGAGAACAAATTTAAAAGATCTTTGATGATCTTACGCATAATAAAACAATAATAAGGTAGAATCAGTAGAAAAGTACGTTCTCAATTTTACATGCCTTGAGTTGATACAAAAAAGAAAATTAGCTTTGTTCCAGAACTTTTCTGGCTAAAGAGAATTAATGAATTTTCTCTTCGTACTTATAAAAAGTACGGGAACAGAAAAAAAAACAAAATTTATCTTTCAATAAATTTGTATTGAAGTTTATTCACAAAGAATATAAAGAAATTGGGGTTTGTCAGCATAGAAAAGGTATACATAGAACTGAAACTGAGTATGACAAAACCTAAGTCTGCTGTCAAAAACCTAAGTCGTGAGAATGTATTAGTTGAAAAATATGTAACCCATCAAACACAAACTCTTTCGTTTAAAAAGTTTTTATATTTTTGTTTGATATTATATTTCGATATTTTATGAAATAATGTTTTGAATTGGCCATTTTTATTCAACATCAGTTGACCAATGTAAGAAAGATCTTCATTAAAAATTATTCTTAATTTTAAATAAACTCTTTGTGTTTTCTGGGTTGAGTCAATATTGACACTTGAAAATTATATTAACAAAATAAAAACGATTGAAAAATTTGTTTTTTTTTCTGAAAATGTTTTCAATAGTTTTATAGGAAAAGCGTAACTTTTAGCAGTGTTTATTGCAGCAGCAGGGGCTATTTTGCCAAAGGAATTGTGCTAATGCTAAAATTAACGCTTGATATGAACGATTATTGTTAATCTGCAGCCCAAATGCAGTTAAAATACACCCTACACCACACTAATGGGAACGGCATTTCGTTTATGTCTTAAAGTTTGTAACACCTGCGTCGATGTAATGATGTAATCCGTCCATAAATTAGCCTATTGAACTTTTTTGTAAGCGGTACATGCTATACAAGAATAGGGTTTTTATAAAATTCGACTCAACAAATTTTATATATACGAAATTTTGACTATATATTGTTATAATGAGTAGTACATTCATTAATTAAG